GACGGCGGAGGAGGAGGGGGAGGAGGAGAAGTAGGAGGAGAAGTAGGAGGAGAAGTCGGAGGAGGAGGAGGAGGAGGCGGAGGCGGAGGCGGAGGCGGAGGCGGAGGAGGAGGAGGAGGAGGAGGAGGAGGAGGAGGAGGAAACCCGAGAAGGCTCATGCTTGAGCCTCATGAGGGTTCCAGATGACGTGCGGAGCTCTGAACGTCGCCCCAAGGCGGCCTGAGAGGAGTCCAGGCGGCCTAAGAGGGCCCCCAAAGGTCCCAAAAGGTCCCGAAGAGGACCACAAGGTGACCCGAGGGGCCCGCAACCCCCCAAGAGGCCCCAAAAAGGCTCATAAACACTGCCTCCGAGAGAGGGGGCCTGGCGCTCCCCTGACACGCCCGAGAGAGCTTCGCCTTCAACAGAAACAAAGCGCCCCCCCCCCAAACGTAGCGTTGAGAGAGCTTCGCCTTCAACATGCACAAAACGCCCCCCCCCCAACGTAGCGTTGAGAGAGCTTCGCCTTCAACATAAACAAAACGCCCCCCCCAACGTAGCGTTGAGAGAGAGAGGGAGCTTCGCCTTCAACATAATCAAAACGCCCCCCCCCCCCTCCCCAAACGTAGCGTTGAGAGAGCTTCGCTTCGCCTTCAGAAGAAACAAAACGACCCCCCCCCCCCGCCAACGTAGCGTCAAGTCGGGCCTGTCATTCTACAGGAGGAATATTCAGAAATAGTGAAAAATAGCCTGGGGATTTTTTGTGAGTAGTTTCGGGCATCATTTGGCTATGGTTTGAGGACTTGTAATTTTTCATCCAAAATCCTTCTGTAGGGGGACAAGCCCGACCTAAACGTAGCAAAGCACGTCCGACCCAGCAGCGGATTCTGTCAAGGTCTGATTGAAGTTCACGCCCTCCTGAGGCGCTCTGAGGCCTTCCCTGGGAGTCGTTGCGAGCCTCCCTGGCGCTCTCGGTGGCTCTTCCCGAGGGCCTCCCCAAGGGCTCCCACGAGGGCGCGAAGTTATTCGCGCTTCGCGGTCCTCGTTCCTTCTCCCCCTCCTCCTCGTCCTCCTTTTCTCCCTTCGGGGGGGCGGCGCGAGAGCGCGAAGTTATTCGCGCTTCGCGGAGCGCGAAGCGCGAAGTTGGGAGCCCCTCCCGAGCCCTTCTCTGGGCGCTCCTCCCTCCACCTCCAACTTCCATACCCTCCGACATTGAAACTAGTGAAAGCCTCGGGAAGCGCAGGAAAACTCAGCATCTCCCGAAGCGCAGGAATGAGGAAGGTCAGCACGGAAGGTCTGGAAGAATGAGGGCGAGGGCTGAGACGCCTCAGAGGGGCTTCGACTTTGATGCACATCCCCGCGACTTCAAAACTGCCCTCAATAGGATGGGGACGACCGAGCCGTGCTCTGGGGCCAAGCTGCTGGAGCGCTACAAGAGTTCGGACACGAAGGCGCCGTCTCGCTACCATTGCCCCGGCCGCCGCCGTGGTTTTGGGCAAAATCTCCGCCGTTCCTCCGAGAACCACTCCAGAGAGACGTCGTCTACGGGGTCCTGGAGAAGGAACCCTTTTCGTTGGGGAGGGGCTCCGCGTTCCTTACGTGTTTCGCAGCTTGCCTCAGGTTTTCCTTCTGCTTTCGATCGGACATCGAAGTTTAACTTACGGAAGAAAGGGGCCTCGTTCCTTATTTTGGGCTCCTTAGGTCAAGGCCCCGACTGTATACGGGGTCCACGGGCCGGCCCCAGTCTACATGATCCAGGGTCGAGGGTTCACGGCCACCCCCCAGATGGTATGGTCCCAGGATTCCTCGGGCCCCCCCCCCCCAGGTGGTACGGTCCCAGAGACGACGACAACGACGACGACGACGACGACGACGACGACGACGACGACGACGACCTCTGAACCACCACAGCACCACACCACATCCACAGGGGGGGGGGAGGGGGGCACCGCAGCGCAGCACCACGCCACGCCCACAGGGGGGGCGGGGGGGACCATCGCGCGGGGGGGGGGGCCCAATGGCATCAGCATTAGGGGGGGGGGCGGGGAGGCCCAAGCCCTGGACCATATATTCTAATGCCAGGGGCCGGGCGTGCCAGACCGTCGCAGGATCAACTGCGGCAAAATCGCCCCGGGCTGGCCCCGGGCCGCCCCGGGGCCGCCCAGAGAGGCTCCAAGACGCGCCAAGAGAGCCCCAAGAGGCCCAAGTCGGCCCGAGAGGTCTCCAAGGTGCTCCATGAGACCTCTCCAGAAGCTTCCCCAGAGGGCACCCAGCAGGAACAAACATGGATTTGCCTTGTTTGTGTTGCAAGGTCTTTGCCGTTCTCGCCTTGTCGGCTTCCACGCGATCCAGGACGGCCCAGGACGTCCCCAAGACGGCTCCAAGACGGCCGAAGAGGCCCCCAAGAGAGCCCCAAGACGGGCCCAAAGGGCCTCCAAGTCGGCTCAACGGGGGTCGTGCGTGCCAGAGTGCCGCAGGGTCAATAAAGTCAAAACCGCCCCGGGCTGGCCCCGGACGGCCCACGGACGCCGAAAGAGGCTCCAAGGCACGCCAAGAGGGCCCCAAGAGGCCTAAGTCGGCCCGAGAGGTCTCCAAGGTGCTCCATGGGACCTCCCCAGAAGCTTCCCCAGAGGGCCCCGAGCAAGAAAGAACGTAGATTTTCTTTGCTTTTTCGCAAGGTGCTTGCCGTTCTCGCCTTGTCGGCTTCCAGACGATCCACGACCGCCCAAGACGTCCCCAAGACGGCTCCAAGACGGCCGAAGAGGCCCCCAGAGAGCCCCAAGACGGGCCCAAAGGGCCCCCAAGTCGGCTCAGCAGGCCCCCAGGTGGGCCCCAGACGCTCGAGATTGGCCCAAGATTGGCCCAAGCCGGCCCGAGAGGCCTCCAAGGTGCTCCATGAGACGTCCCCAGAACCTTCCCCAGAGGGCCCCGCGGCCCCGGCGCGCTTCCAAGATGGCGTAAGAGCGCTCCGAGCCGCCCCTGGAGGTCCCCAAGAGGGCCTCAAGAGGGCCCGAAGACGGTCCAAGGGGGCCTCTGAGACGGGCCCCGAGCGCTCGAAGACGCCCAAGACAGCCGCCCGACGGCCCAAGAGGCCCCCAAAATGCTCCAAGTGGGCTCCATAGAGAGCCCAGGAGAGCCCGAACAAGGAACAATCGTCCCAATCCCAATGGAAAACGCACATTTCGGGAGTTCCCGTGCTTTACGTCTTCGAAGTGTTGAAGACGGCCACACAGGCCCTCAAGATCGTCCCAAGACGCTTCAGGAGGTTGCCAGGAGGACTTCAAGACGGCTCAAGACTGTGCCAGGACGGTTCCTCAGGCGCCCATGGCGGCCCCAAGTGGAGGGCAGGACAGGGTGGGAGCGCTCCCGAGGGGCCCCAGAGGGTGCCAGGAGGGCCCCAAGATGGCCCCGACAAGGCCCCAAGACGCATGTACTTGGGTGCTGGGTGCCCATCTCGCAAGCCCAAGAAGCACATCAAGTACATGCGGTTTGGGGCCCTCTTGGGGCCCCCTTGGGGCGATCTTGTGGCCCTCTTGAGGCCTTCGGGCCCCTCCAAGACAGGGCCGGGCGCATTCTGCCACAGGAAGGCCTCTCGTGGCAGAGTGGCGGGCCCGCGCCCGGCGGTGTCCTGGGGCCCTCTTGGAGCTCTCTTGGACCCAAGACAGCCCCAAAGACGGCCCCAGATGGCCCGAAGACTGCCCAATCGGCGTCCAAGACGGCCCACGACGGCTCCAACACGGCCCCGAAGGCACGCAAGGCAGCCCCAAGAGCCGCCAAGACGGCTCCCAGACGGCCCAAGAGGCGCTCAAAACGGCCCAGGACGGTTCCGAGACGGCCCAAACGGCACCGACGAGAGCCCACGAGGGCCCCAAGAGGCCCCCTCGAAGCCCAAAAGAAGCTCCAAGAGGCCCCCACACGGCCCATAGGAGACCCTAAGTGGCTAACCGTGGGATCATCGCGCAGGGGCGCCGCGCGCCCGAACTGTCTCCCCGCAAGCGTTCTGTGTCTCGCCGCCGCCGCCGCCGTCATCGTCCCCGTCGGGCGGCGCCGGCAGGCGCCACGGAGCGTGCCGGTGCAACTCGGGGCGCTGCTGTGGAAGGGGCGGATAGGCTTTCGGCACCATTCCCGCCGCTCCCCCTAGAATGCTCTTGGCCAGATGTCGTGGACGGTACTCCACGGGTCAGCCCTAGTCTCTACTACATTGCAGGGCCCAGTGCGTGCCAGAAGGGCGCAGGCCCCAATGCACCGAAACCGCCCCGGGCTGGCCCCGGGCCGCCCCAGGCCGCCCAGGCAGGCTCCAGGACATGTCGAGAGGGCCCCCCGAAGCCCCCAAGACGGCCCCGGAGAGCCCCGGCACGCTTAAAGATGGGCCCAAGACGCCCGAGATTCGCCCCAGACGGCCCAAGAGGCGTCCAAGACGCCCGAAGAGGCCTCCCAAGAGGCCTCCCAAGAGGGCCCCGAGCGACAGAAATCGTCGATTTCTGTTGTGTTTTTCGATGTTTTCGGCCTCCTCGCCTCTTCGGCTTCCCGACGCTCCAAGACGGCCCAAGAAGTCCCCCCGACCGCTCCAAGACGGCCGAAGAGGACCCCAAGAGAGCCCCAAGACGGGCCAGGAGGGCCCCAAGACGGTCCCAAGACGCCCAGCACGGCCCCAGGACGGCCCAGGAGGCGCCCAAGACGGCCCAAGAGGCACCCAAGACGGCCCCAGGAGCGGCCCAAGACGGCCCAAGACAGCCCAAGAGGCGCCGAGGCGGGCCTCAGACGGCCCCAAGACGGCCCAAGAGGCACCCAAGACGGCCCGAGAGGGCCCTAAGAGCCCCCCCGGGAGGCCCAAAAGAAGGCCGAAGAGGCTCCGAAACGGCCCCCACGAAGCCTTCAGTGGCTTCAGAATTCCCTCCAGGAGCTGGAGCCCGACGCCATCATGATTGCCTTTCGGCCCTGCAGCCGCACCCCCCCGCGCTTGCCCAGAGACCCCTCGCCACGTCGAGCTGATGTCGTGGACGGAGTCCACAGGTCTGCCCTAGTCAGCTACAGCGCTGGGATCAGCGCGTGCGAGAAGGGCGAGCAGTGGCAGCAGGCGCTATCGTTGCTGAGCGAGATGTGGGAGGCGAAGCTGGAGCCCAACGTCATCATCTACAGCGCTGGGATCAGCTCGTGCAGGAAGGGCGGGCAGTGGCAAGGGGCCCTGGCGTTGCTGAACGAGATGCAGGAGGTGAAGCTGGAACCCGACGTCATCAGTTACAATGCTATGATCAGCACCTGCGAGAAGGGTGGGCTCCCGCCTGGTTCCCGTTGTTCTTTCGGGCGCCCACGGGCGCCTAGGGCGGCGAGTTTTGTTCAAAAAGGCACCCTTGGATCACGCATTTCTTCGATGCCAGGCCCTCGCAGAAATTCGACCGCCCGCGCCCCGAGGCGGGCTAGGGGGGCGGGTGATGGGGGGGGCGGGGAAGGAAGGAAAGACGGAATGGAGGGGTACGTCGTCCTTCCTGCTCCCTTCCCACCCTCCCCCTCCTCGTCCTCCCCTCCTCCTTCACCACGAGGGCGCGCAGTCGGGGCGCTGAAGAAGGAACCCTTTTCGTTTGAGAGGGTTCGGTGTGATATGACTGTTTTACAGTTCGCCGCATGCTTTCCTTGGGTTTTTCATCTGGAACCCAAGTTTAAGCAATAGAAAAAAACCTCTTCCTTCTTTCGGGTTCCTTCGGTCGACGCCCAGCAGACGGCCAGTGGTTTAGTAGTTAAGCTATCGCCGTGAGCTGGAGCGCCACGTAGGTGCGCAGAAAGGGAAAGTGAATATAGGAGGGGTGGCATGAGGAAGGGGGGGGGAAGAAGGGGGGGCAGGGAGGGGGCGAAGTAGGGCGAGGAAACAGAAGCCAACGGCGGGGAGAGGAATCAACAAACATGACGCGAGGTGGATGATGACGAGGAGCAGCAGCAGCAACAGGATGAGGAACCAGAACAGGATCAGCATCAAGATGCTTGGCGCTAGGAGGCTGTAGAAGGGCGGGAGAGGACGGAGGGGGTGGAGAAGAGGGGGGGGGAGGGGGGGGGGGGGGGACGGCGCGGCGCGTGCCGCGCCGAGCCATTTTGGCTTGCCGCGCCCGCGGCGCGAGGGCGCGCGGGCGCCGCGCCATCCGGCCGCCGGAGGCCGCGGCGGCCGCGGAGGCCGCCGAGCTGCAGGCGGCGCCGTCACCATCATTATCATTCCCGTCGTCATCTTTGCCATCATCACCGTCATCATCGTAGTGGTACTCAGTAGTATTCGTATGCTCGGCATTGCAATCGCCGCAACCATCATCATAGTCATCACCGTCACCTCCTCCTCCTCCTCCTCCTCTTTATCCTCCTCCTTCTTGCGAGCAAGATCTTGTCTGGCTTAATCCACTCAGTCAGACGCGTCTGGGCCTGCGACGTCAACGACGGGCGTGCAAGTCTACAGCTGGGGCGCTGCTGCGCCCCTCCTCTTCCCTCCTCCTCCTCCTCCTCCACCTCTTCCTCCTCCACCCCCTTCCTCCTTTCTCCTCCTCCTCCTCCTCCTCCCACTTCCTCCTCCTCCCTCCTCCTCCTCCCCCTCCTCCTCCTCCGCCGCCTCCTCCACCCCCTTCCTCGTGTCTCCTCCACCTCCTCCACCTCCTCCGCATCATCGTTATCATAATCAGTGCTGTCACTATCATCATCGCCATCGTCATCGTCGTCGTCAGAACCTGCGTCATCACCATCATCATCATCATCATCATCATCATCATCATCATCATCATCATTCTCATCACCATCACCATCGTTATCATCGTCATCGCCATCACCCTCATCATCGTCATCATCATCATCAGCATCATCATCATCATCATCATCATCATCATCATGAGAGTCACCGTCGCCACCGAGGGCGGCGGAGGGAGGCGGAAGGGGGGGCCCGCACTCATTTTGACTTCAGCGGCGGGCGGGCGGCGCGGCCAGCGCCGCGATGGCGCGCCCGTCCGCGGCGCCCGCCAGGCCGCGCCCGTCCGCGGCGCCCGCCAGGCCGCAAGATTGCAACGACGACGGCGACTCCGACGCCGACGCCGACGACGACGACGACGACGACGGCGCTTACGAACGCGACGATGACGAAAACGAAAACGCCCCCGACCTGCCGACCAGCGGCCCGACGACGACGACGATGACGACGATCACGACGGCGACGACGACGACTCGACGACGACGACGACGACGACTCGACGACGACTCGACGACGACGATCCCGACAGGGCCCGATACTCCGACGATCCGACGGCGACAACTCAAATTCCGACGACCCCGACGAAGGCGACGACGCCTCCGACTCCGCTTCCGACGACGACATCGACGACGACTCCGGCGGCGCCGCCGCCGCCGCCGACGGCGACGGCGACGACAACGCCGACTCCACCGACGACGGCGACGACCCCGCCGACGACGACGGGGACGACGACGAAGACGATCAATGAAGACGGCGCCGACGACGACGGCGAAGACGACGACGACGGCGACGTCGAGGGCCACGGCGGCGACGATGGAACGCTTCAGACGACTCGGAAGCCTCCGGCCATGACGATTCCAACAGCGACCTTTGCAAGGTCGTTGTTGGAATCCGACGTCGGAAATTCTGAAACCCGAGTCGCGATTGTCTTCGTCGGAAATTCCGACGTAGACGATCGCGACTCCGAAGACTCCAAGTTCCACGACGACGACAACGACCCCGACCTCCCGCCTCCGCCCCCCGCCCCCCGCCCCCCCTGAAGGGCGGCCGCGAGCGCCGCGCGCGGCGAGCCCGGCGGCGAGCCCGGCGGCGAGCTTGGCGGGCTCGCGGCGGCCTCGCAGGTCGGGCGGGGGAGAAGGGAGGGGAGGATGGCGAGGAAACGAGAACGAGGAGGAGACGGAGGAGGAGGCGGAGGTGGAGGAGCATGAGGAGGAGGACAAGGAGGAGGAGGAGGAGGAGAAGGAGGGAGGAGGAGGGATGAGGAGGTAAGAGAGCAACGAGGAGGATAAGGTTGATGGGGGAGATGGGAAGTGGAGTCGTCGTCAGATTTCGTCGTCGTCGCAACGACGACGACGACGCCGAATTCCGACGGAGTCGGGATCGGAGTCGTCTTCGTATGCGTAGGGCGCTGCGGTCTTCGTTGTCGTTGTCGTCCGTCGTCGTCGGCATGAGTCTTTCTCGTCGTCGTCGAGTCGTCGTCGGCGTCGTTGTTGCCGTCGTCGTCGCCGCCTTCGCTGCCCCCCTCGCATCGCCTCGCCCCTCGCCCGGGCCGTCGAGCCGCTGTCGTGGCGCGTCGGGGCCACGTCGCCCGACCGCTACGAAAACGAGCTCGCCGACCTAGCGGCCCAGAGGGGGGGGCGAAGGAGGGGGCGGCAGGTGAGGGCGTGGGGGGCGGGGTAGCAGCGTAGGATAGTAGAAGCGAGACGCAGGGGAGGAGGAGGAGGAGGAAGAGGAGGAGGGGGAGGAGGAGGAGGAGTAGGAGGAGGAGGAGGATGAGGAGGAGGAGGAGGAGGAGGAGGAGGGAAGGGTGAGGGGGGAGGGGGAGGGGAGGGGCATGAGGAAGGGGGGGTAGGAGGAAGGGGGGAGGGGGAGGAGAGAGGAGGAGGAGGAGGAGGAGGAGGAGGAGGAAAAGGGAGAGGAGGAGGAGGATGAGACGGAGGAGGAGGAAAGGGATGATGATGATGATGATGATGGTGATGGTGATGGCCATGGTGATGATGATGATGATGATCGTGATGATTCTGATGCTGGTGATGTTGATGATGATGACGATGATGCGGATGATGCTGATGATGATGATGATGATGGTGAATGATGAATGCTGAATGATGAGTGATGATGATGATTCTGATGATGATGCTGATGATGATGATGATGATGATGATGATGATGGTGAGGATGAGGACGAGGATGAGGATGAGGACGAGGATGAGGATGAGGATGAGGATGATGATGGTGGTGGTGCTGATGATG